ATCGCGCTTCAGATTCGTACCCAACGGATGGTTTTTATATTGGGGTAGTTTCGATGTTCTAATCAGGCCCGTTGGGTTCTTCCAACGTTGAGCTGAAAGAAACCAGGTAAAATACTCTGTGAAATGTTTAGCCCATCACTATAGACGATGATTGAGGGAGCGGATTACTGTCCCGCCTTTTTCGCATATCCTTCCACTGACACCCCTCTTCTGAGCAGTCGATAGAATCAGTAGAAAAAGGGTACGATTGTTTCCAGGGGTGAAAGCCTTTCCCAGCCCTGAGCCTTCGAAGCCAGCGTGATCTGTTATTTTTCAAAGTCTCGATTACCAGATGTCTGAGGCGTCTGCGTACTTCACCGCAGCAGATAGTCACCGGTGTGGCCTCTCTGGTCGCAGTAGGATCTGCTGACCTCAACGACATGCAGCGATCATTTTGCCGGCCCTGGCAAAGTGATCCACGAGATTCAATTATGCCCAGCCGGGTGGATGTGGCACACAAACCGATTCCGGCTGACAAATGTGCAGATCCTGCACATAGGACCGAGTGAGGTGAGTCTAGAGATGCTTCTGGACATTTGATCTTAGCAATGTTCCAGAAAATCCTTCAGCTGCATCGTCGGAGGCCCAGTCATATCACGAATTACGACACTGACGCTAGAGAGACAGGATTCGCAAGCAAGTTAAGCCGCTGCAACTGAACCCTAGGCCTCAAATCTACGACAACCGACTTCAAGGGAGGTGTTAGGCGGAATTCCATATGGATCCCGGTTTATCGCTCGCAGTCAGATGCTGCTACGGCTAAGAAGTCTGTTCCATGCTAGACTGGCCAAAATGTTCGGGACTCTTGCCGGTCGGGAATCAAGTAGGGATCTGATTGGTTGAAAGTCTCTACCGAACAGCCAATAACAATCCTATATTGGTCGAATGCCGATTGCCAATGGCGCATCCATAACGCGTCAGAACTTCCAGAAAGTTGTCGCCAATTACACTGAGGAAAATACCGGTAACGGCGTAACCAGAGAGTGACACTCTTTAATCGACGATCTCCGTTGGTTACTGATGGCGACATAGTCTTATTGGTCCCGAAAATATCTTATTGCTGTGGGTCTCCAACTCTCTCCAACTCGAGTTTTCATGATGAACGCTAGTACTTGCCGGGAACAGACGATCGGCACATGACTGATGCAGTCGTTTCCGATTATCCCCACACTGAGCGTCGGCTCCAAGTGTGCCACACATTTACGCCTCTTCCGGACTTATTCGTCCAACTTGAGCATTCATATCACCCGGTGGAATGACAATATCCGTCCTTCCCACCGACTGAAGCAGTCATGACAGATGTTTATAAAAGCCATCCTCCTCGGTTTCACAGCTGCTGAACGTCCGGGCGTCTGCTGATATGATAAATAAACACCGTTTACCACATTGACCCGCACTGATCTTAATTGAACCAGACAACGACATAGCTCAAAGATGACCGTTTACTGGGGTCCAGTCCAACAAGGCGCTCCCAGACTTTGCGCCCAGTGCAACTCCCACACTGCGGATACCACGGGTGACTGTTTCAAGATCACTAGAAGAGCAAAATGGAGAACATCTGATCTCGCCCTAAGCTGCTTGAGGGGCACGACCCAGTAAACACAGTGCCACCGGTGGCTAACGGTGGCCAAAGGTGGCTAGCTTTGCCACTGATTTTGTTGGTGAATACAAGCCAAACGTAGCATTTGTTGCATAAAAGCCTTCTGAAAACAAATGTAATGGGATACTCTTGATACTGGAGCTCTATTTACGAAGTAATTTTTGAAACCGATTTGTTTGAATGCACCACCGATTAAATATATCATGAAATTCTTGGGTTGCCTCCTTTGGCCGCTTTTAGACACTGGTGGCGCTATCGGTGGCAAGCGTAACATGCCGCCCCTATTTGCCACCTCTTGCCACCGGTTGTGCCGCGGTGACGTGTTTACTGGGGACCGAGGTGGGGTCTTGTATGCGTGTTTCGGAGACACATACATCGACAGAGAGGGAATGAATGGTTTCAGCAAAAGACGTCTGCCCAATTTGACATACCACACGGACGTTAAATGCTGAAATGCGGGTCAGATCTTTTGAGGTCAGTAGGTGGTTGTTTTGGTTCATTTCTCTGGGCGACAGCTTAGGCAGCAGTTGCTATTGCCACCGGTGTGCCGCGGTGACGTGTTTACTGGGGACCGAGGTGGGGTCTTGTATGCGTGTTTCGGAGACACATACATCGACAGAGAGGGAAAGAATGGTTTCAGCAAAAGACGTCTGCCCAATTTGACATACCACACGGACGTTAAATGCTGAAATGCGGGTCAGATCTTTTGAGGTTAGTAGGTGGTTGTTTTGGTTCATTTTTCTGGGCGACAGCTTAGGCAGCAGTTGCTAGGATGTTGATTGCTGGGTTTGTGGCTCTGTATCTTTCGGCGGGTGAGGAGAGGGTTTAGAGGTATACCGGTGTGCGAAGAGCTGCATGGGCAAGTGGTACTTTTCGGTTACCCAGGCGGAGGAAGGGGGTTTGGTTGAGGTAGCCCACATTGAGCCTTTGACTCAAAAGTTTGACCCACAAACCAGTGGCAAGACGTAGGGGTTTTATTCGAGGACATTGCCCCTAGTGTCTAACTCAAAAGAGTAGACCGCGAGACAACGATTGTTAGGGTTTCCTTTGGAACCCTTCTCGGAGCCAGTGGCCCAATAAGCTGACCCATTTGGTTGTAGGGTGCCGGTCTGGCCCGAGGACGCAGGGAGTAAGACATTAATGTCTCACTCCTTATGCAGCTGCGCACAGCAGATGCCTTTCGGGTAGTAGCAGACTCTTGGTGCTGTATTTCGACCGTATTAAATAATGGGTCGGCGGTCACGGTCAATCGCTGGGTGTTTGGAGTGCGCGGCTTTTGAGACAGACCTTTTCTAACCCGTTCTTCCTAGAAAATCGTTCAGCTGTAGCACCTTTTCGGTGTCTAGCTGCCATGCCACCCGAAGGTTGCACGAGGACTGGGATACTGCCAGGTTGCCCAAGCGTAGACGAGAAGTCGATAGGCAGAGGTCGGGTTGGAAACACGGACCTTCCGGTCAGTTAATTCGCGCTCTAACCACTTGGTCCATCTCGCCCTTGTTCTTCCTAGGGGGAAGGCAGCACTACTGCATCCATAAATATGGACATTCTGGTCGTCTGGGAGAAACGCCTTACTGCCTTCACACTCCTATCGCAGAGGACAGTATGACTTTGTCTCCAGACCGCCATGTAATACGATAACTCGCAGTACGGGGACTCACTGTTCTTCGTCGGACTGCTCCTTGTTGACCTTTCTGACATAGTTGAACCTTTAGGAACTGAGTTCCAGCCAGTATGGCCCACAGAATCGTTGCAGCACAGAATTCCGACCAACACCGTGTCCGCTGTATGTGGAAAGGATTTTGACCCTGCTGATGTCACCATTCAGCGACCGCTTTGGTGTTACGGTATTTTTAATCGTAAGAAAAACGGCTCTACACGTGTTGCGAAACTGCCACGGCTACCCGACTCAGATAGGAGGACTCAAAGCTTACCGCAATGCAGGAATATTTGGCGGTAAATACTGTGTTTTTTAAAGAACAGATAGAGTTCCTGATGACTTTATTAATCGGATTTCCAACCACTGGCCAACCTGGTATGAAGAATCCGTGAGTGCGTAGACGCTATTCAGTTTAACTCAATGGGGTTACGGAGGTCGCAAACCAGCACATCACGGTAAGGTTCAGCCTATTCTTGACGCGCTTAGAGCTCAGAGGTCGTTGTGGTTGTCGGCCGGTTGATTGCGCACGCGATTAATGTTAATGTTGCAGAGGTTCAACTTTGTATTCATCTTGGGTTAGACGCGAGGTACACAGACGGCAGAAAGCTTCTACTACAGCCGCATAGTGACTATAGCTTGTTTCTTTGCAATAGTGACTTCCGGAACTGCGGAAATCCTTTGACCACATGATGGCCCCGATCCGACCATCCGTGAACTCTAGCAAATGACATTGCCGTCGGTTACCTCTGGCGAGAATCGATTACCGCTTGTGGCTGCTTCTGAAACGCTTGTGTGGGCTTCGGTGATGCATTTCTTTGTTGTCGAGGTTTTTTGAGTTCTATAGGCTTGCGCATTGCCCGCAAAACTCGTTTGGAAAACATACCGCAACCACTTCTGAATTGAACTTACATACTTTCGGGCATGCGAGACAGTTTGGTTTAAATGTCACGAGGATACTCCTTGAACTGAGGCAAAATGCTGATGTTTGACGAGTGTAACTGTTGCTCAGAAAAATGGGCAAAATGGAACACACATTCTACTCCAACTGTATTCGCTAAGTAACACACTGGATCTCAGCCTCGATAACACCGCGCAGGTGCTCTCAGCAGTTTTCGGTGAGCGTTCGTTCTCGCTCAGTATTCGCTATAAGTGATTTAAACTGGTGAAAAACCTCGCTATAAGTGATTTAAACTGGTGAAAAAGGAGTCAAAGTCACGTATGTGGGTGGATTCAACTTTAAATATAGACCGTTCAGAGTGTCTTCCATGACAAGACCAGTGCAACTGTCCAGTTCTCGTACGCGGCCTTTTGTTACACTCAGGATGTGATCTCAGAACCAGGCTACGGAAGTAGATTCATCGCTTTCCCGATACGACAGTACAGGCTACTACTCACGGGTGCCAGCATCACTTCGAAACAGCTTACTTGCTTGGTAATTTGATCGTGAGGTTGGGATAGAAGGTCATTGTCTACCTGGTCGGTCGCGAGCTTAATCTCCTCTCCGTCCAGCCTCATTCACTGCTTCTATCGCCTGTCATCGATGATGACCTATTGCTTTTCTCCGTTACATGACACCTTCCATTTCATCCATAATTTACCATTGTATTTCATCCTGTCCAGGTTCATGCAGAAACCAACCTTCGAGAAGTCCGAGGAGGGTTCCGTAAGTTGTGCATAGTTGATCCCAAGGTTTTTTAGTCGGCGGAATTTTTCTCGAGAGATGGAATTTTTCATCTAGAGCCTCTACAGGCCTTCAGGTAGTTAACTCACAGTCAGTTCCCAAAATTCCAGACCGACCGCACCTCTCACGAACTTCCAAGTGTCCGGGAGCTTCCTCATTGCAGCGACAGTAAAGAACACGTTATTACGACTCAATGTGGCCTCTCCGTCCAAATTATCAGGTGTGGTGAACTTCTCCCTACTTGTTTATCACCGCGTCATTCGGAACATTATTCATTTCTGCACTGTATGTTCGTGGTATTTGGTCTACCTGCACTTAATATCTGCACTATTGTGGAGTATTCAATACTGTTACTGAGCTTGAGAGATGTACTTGTACTTATCTGTCTCTCCTTCAGCGAGTGAAGTTCTGTAGTCGATCCTAGTGGCAAGCCTGGTTTCACTTTTTAGCCGCACTGTTTGTCACTGTGTCCGACTTTTTGTTAGCCGAGGTCCGCAAGAAATGATGGAACAGTCCCGCTTTTATCGACGCACTGTGAAAATGTGCTCACTTCATCGCTGTTCGGATGTATGGGAATGTGCTTGTACCTGTTTCCCTTCTCTTTATTCTTCAGTAGTATTCTCTCTCATAGTTGTATGGCGGTCAAGAGCAAGTAGTTCACACTGTTTGTACACTGTTTGCTATAATGCTGAGGAAGGTAAGGTCACTGCAGCTGCAAATGGTGTCATAGCCTAGACGACCATTATAGAGGTTCGTCACGTTGCAGATGTATTTTTGCGCTACATATATGCAATCGTGTTAAACGTACGGGGCGTTTAAAACACTACGCACATACTGAAATAGACTCGGGGGGAGATGGTTCAGTGGTTAGAGTGCGAATTTACCTACCAGAAGGTCCGTGGTTCGAACCCGACCTCTGCTTCTCAACTTTCCTTGTCTAGGCTTGGGCAACCTGGCAGTATCCCAGCCCTCGTGCTTCCTTTGGGTGGCATGGCAGCTAAGGACCGAAAGGGTGTTAGGGCTGAACGATTATCATCTTTACTGAAGCAGAGTTCGTGATGAAGGCTATACAATATTTGGCTCATCATATTTGGGTGAATCGTTCACAATTATTGACGAATTAGATAACTGAACCATTAATGGGGGAATTTTCGGTGCATGTGTTGTGACACATTTAGCACATACGGAGTTACAACCTTAGTGTATAAAGTCATTGGGTTTGAGAATGTTTACTACTCACCTTGTAGCCTAACGCATAGGTTTCTTTATTGAAAATGCTGAGGATGTCACTCCAGAACTTCATATTCACAGACGTGTAATTTTTATGCATTTTTAAATGTGATTTGATGAGCCTCATGGAACTCATCTTTAGTTTCCGAAACGCTTATTTCGCAACAGAAATGCTGGTCTGTTTGTGTGTATTGTGGGCTCGCACCAGAAATAGTAAGAACACCAGTTGTGGGGCGTAGAGTCAACTGTTTGAATGGGTGGAAAGAGCTACCTGAAAAAGGGTAAAATTAGCACTGGGAAACAAAGTACCTGAATGGAACGAATGTTCAAATTCCAGGGCAATAGTATTGGCTGTATACAAATTCTAAAAATCATCAGTATCCAATGTGAACAAAGAGGTACCTTCGAAAGCAGTAGGGACGGCAAGCAACGCAGGTACAAGCATGTTTCTCACTAAACTGAACAAAGGAAAAGAAATGTGTTTTAATGCGGGCCGAAAAATTCTGTCCTTTGGTGGGTACGACGGATTTTAGCGCAGTAGGGTTTACAGTGGGGACAACATTCACTACTTGACCCAACAATTATGATGGTTTTGATTGTAATACGGGAGCAGTGAAGTTGAACACTAGAGTGCAGCAGTTTGGCCCCTATTAGCTTATCAGAGATGTCTCACTTCACGACCCGGCTCTTCGCCTGACAACTGCTTTTCCATGGACCGCTGTATTCACATACTAATACGTGGTAATACAAGAAAATCAGACCCGGGCCCGGTAATTGGGTGTGAGAAGTACACTGCTCGCGTGTCTGGTGCCCGGAGTGCAAATCCAATATACGACTGAGACTGTGCGGATAGTGGGTTCTGCTAACTCTGTATAGTCCTTCTCCGAGTAGTAAACAACCAAATTCACTCTTTCTGAATGCACTGTTCATATTAAAACACTCGCCTATTAGTGTAGCTCTCCAAAATATACAATTCATTGATTACATTCCTTACTGGTGAATCGTGTCTTATTAGCGGGCACATCAATCCACTGGCAACACTTTGTAAAGAGAATAACCGCGTTTATCAGGCGGGAATAGATTCAACCTATTTTTCACATCTTCCCTTTCTTCCAGAAATAGAAATCAGTCGCGTTTCCGATGACAGGGTTCACAATCTCTTTTTGGATCCCATGGGTTGGCATACAATTATCAGCATGCAATCCGGGGTGAACTTCTACACTAATCGTGGGATGAAAAAAGTGCGGCCGATCATCAAATCCAAGGTAGATCAGTTGCATGTCAACTGCTGCATTGGTTGGAATTCTCGGCCACTTCTGGAATTGGGTTCACACTATGCAAACTGAGTTGGGATATATTATTTTTAAACCGTGTGTTGCACTGTCCTATGGGGTATGTTCTTAGATATGCCACCTAGCTTTTTCTGTTTCTTTCCGGTTCTGCAAGGTTTACCGTCTGGAGTAAACGCCTTGTTTTTAAACCCGCTTACCTCGAAACAATAACGGCTCCCAATGTGGAAGAAGAGGCCCCACTAACTGAGTGCTAATGGTGACCTAATTGTTCATGAGTACTTGTTGGACCTGTGCAATAAGTAAGGTGGCCTTTATTTAAACATTCTTCTCTCTGTCCTGGTATCATTTCAAGAGTAAGACTGGTAAAATGAGAGCGATATGGATATGGGATTCATTATGTCATCCCCTCCTACCAAAGTCCCAATAGCAGTAAATATCTAGGAATAAATTTTCCGCGAGAGGCGATTGTCGGCTGGAGTCTCTTTTGTGTCCATTTGGTAGCTTTTGGCCTTATTTCCATCTGTTGATGATTAATCCTCTCCAACTCAGTGTCACAGCAGGTTAATCTGCTGTGTGTTTCATACTGAGCCTGTGGAATTCCCTTGGATGATAACCATACTGACGTCCGAATGGAGAGAATACCGGAATGCTAGACGAGTCTGAAGCTTATTTTTCAATGCATTTTACTCTTATGGCATTTTATGGTCCTTTGACCAGACGCTGTAGTTCAGTTAATCGAAAATCTCGTGTGCTGTGTAGCCTTATGTAAAGTTGTCCGCAATCCACACGTCACAAACTCATTCAGTTCAGTCAAGTCAGCCATTGGTAACAACTTTTGGTCGGCTCATCTGTTAGATCTGTAAACGCCTGTGTGGTCGACACCGGGTACCTTGGGAAACAAATGAAGTCATGAGAGAATGCGTACTGCTGGCGATTCCCAAGAAGGCCGAAAGGGTTATCGATTATCTCCAAGTGAAGTGACTTTACTGGAAAATTCTACGTAATACTGTTTGTTGAAGGGTAGAAACCACGACTCGCACCACAACTCAGGACGGTTATCGCTGTAAAAGTCATCAAGTCGTCAGTGTGAATATAGCATAAGGCTTATAGCTGGCTATCCTGCAGATCGTGATCTTAGGGTTTTTGACAGTGTTCGGTTGACGGACACCAGCCCAAATTCTTGGCATTCTCCTGCCTGCCCTATCGTTCCTAGCTTATCTAAACTAACCAAAAACCTGGCATGTGATACCTACGTTGCCGTCAGAACCTCAAAGCTTGACTTGATTTTTTTACTTACTTCCCTGACCCGAGAACCTCAACATCGAGAGTAAAACGCCATTCGACGATAACTTTTACCTCTTGTGCCGGATTTTATCTGGTTAGTGCCTTTCCACTCTAGCCGTGCGCTGATGCTCCAGGCGTTTTGTTGTGGAGTTGAGCGATACATGTACAGTCCTGGCTATGTTGTCCGCTCTCAAGCCATGCCAGTCAACCTATAGCTCCGTCATTCCCGAAATTACTGCCTTAGGCTTATAGCGGTCGATTCCAAAAGTTGTCACAAGAACAGTTCCATGTGTTTTGGACTGAAGAAAAAACTATCGTGATTAAAACCCAGCAGGCTGAGAATCGCGATCATTGAATGATTACCCACTTAACCAGATGTGGTTACCTTGCTTTTCGTGACTACTCATGCCGAGGTCGAGCAGCTACCGCAAATCACTGCAAAACACTTCTCCACATTTGGATTTCTTTGTACTCCCATTTATCATCAGCACTCTTCCATGTTCTTGGAGTTCTTGGTGTTGTAGCGTTAACTCAATGGCTCAGCTTCTTACCGACTAATTCTGTCACATACTCAGCTTCCACTTTACTGACTTTTCAACATATTTTGCAGGAACTGTTGTTCGATTCTGTAGCCTGGAACCAGCACAACTCAAACGAGTCATCTACACAAGAAATTCTTATCGGAACTAACGACGGTCTGATTTTTGAAACAATTTTAACCAGTGATGAAGGTCGATTTATTACAAACACCACGGAGCAATACTGGCGACAGGTAAGAATCCGGTTGTTTGTTTCTGGTAACCCACGCACTTGTACTGTACGAATTCGTGCTCAGCCACGCTCCTATCAGCGTAGAATTTTTTTTCGCATCATCACTTATCCCTCTTTTCGTTACAAGGAAGAAGTAGCTCCATTATTTGAGGCTCTTGTGACAATGATAGGCATCACTAAACATGCAACGAAACATACGAGTTTAGCTAAAACGGAGAAAAGCGAACAGTCTTTGAGCAGTTCTTAGCTGTGGATGTTTGGACAAATAGCATAAACCTTGAACTTTCGAAGATTTCAACAACTTGGAGAAACAAAAAGTGGGAAGAATTCGAAGGTGAAGAGTTGGGATGAAATCAAGCAACAAGAGACTGAAACTTGGTGAGTCGAACGACTAAAGCAATGGGACGGTATAGATCACTTCACTGGAGCATTTGCAACGACAGCAGTAAAATGAATAAAGCGATGCAGCGTCACGATCGGAAATGAGATAATCGGTCAGAGTAGAGGACTCTGTTAAATGCCTAATTTCCCTGTGTTAACTGTCTAGTAGTGAAAAACCTCTGTTAGCTGCGTCGCTCCATATGTGACAATTATATTGAATCCTGGAACGAACTTTAGATTCGTGTGAAAAAGTGGAATAACGTGATGACGTAAAAGCAGACCAACAATTCTTAAAGCCCCTATTGTAGTTAATTTCATATTCAGGGTTTAATTGAGGTTGTTGGTAAACAGTGGACGAAGAAGCGAACGTTTCCAGAGGGTCAGAATCAAGACATGTTGGAAAGTTTGTATGGAGAAAAAAGAGTATTTAGGTCCGGTAGGAGTGAAAATAGCTACGCTCAACAAGCTTCTCTGTCCGATACATGGTTCGAGTTGGACAGTTGTAGATGGGCGTGGTCTCCTTCCACTTAATGCTGGTCGAAATGTGTGATTATTTTGGTTTAGGAAAGACATTTCCTGTTGGGGCTAAGTGCTCTGTGGATGACATTTTCCACGCCCCTGGAAATTTTTTATCGGAATGAAAGGGTGCCCCATAACAGAAAATTGCTTCACAGAAATCATTTCCTTCAAAGAAGATATAGCATGCTGAGGTGAACCGCTTCTTGTAAGGGAAGTACTGTTTCCCCTTTATACAAAGTGAGCACCCAGCGAACGCGTGTTCGTTCTTTCGACGATTTTCAGTGTCGTATTGCCTTTGGAAGTCGGAAACTCATCATGTGTGGCGTAATATTAGTCATATTTTCATTCCCAAATGGCTTTCACTCTGATCTCCAGACTACGTGATTCACCTTTGTTGAGGTTTTTAGGTGAATTATTAAGCTCAATGGCCGATGGTGTGCTCTTCTCAAACTTGAAGGCTGTGGCCTGTTTCACCGCATCATCTTTTTTGTATTCACATCTGTTACCATTAGATCGACTTCGGTCAGATCATCCAGAAAGCATTCATAGGTGTGTGCTGAAAAACGATGACAGTGCCTGAGTAACAGGATTTTGGCGGCTAACTTTGAATGTGAGCACTCGGTTAACCTATACAAGCTCGTCATCATCGTGCTTAGCGAGACTCCAGCGACTCCACTTGTTCGCTGAACAGAAGTCTAATAACGGAGACTGCTCTGACAGTGGTACCCTTAATTTATCTTTTGGACCGAAACAGTCTAACTTGATTCATGTTGTCGCGCTTTTCAGATACCAGTTCGTCAGTTTACATGCAAATGAAACCATGGTGAATGCATGTGCTTTGGTTACTGCGAACTGGCTACCACTGGTGGCTGCGCACTTCATCCTGGACTACGCGAAAACTCAATTGTCGCCTGTCTCTTCGTGCACTTTTCCGATGAATATTTCCCAGTTTGAAGAACTGTGGTCTCTTAGTTTTAAATGTATCCTCTGGTGCTGCCCTAAGCTTACATAGATTCGTTTGCTGTCGGTCACCCTGTCTTTTTGATACATTATTTCCAGGTAGCTAACCTTGGACACAGTGTGACGGGTTTGGAGGTTGTCCGTCATCCCCCGGGATCCGCTTGCGTTTTGGTTGGAGAGCCTCAGCGGTGTGTGATTCTCGCCACAACACCAAGCCGCCTATATCAGTTTGCTGGGTGGATCAATACCAGCTCTACAACCACCCTACTATCTCAGCTCGCTTCTGGAAGTCCTCCCTCATCTACGGGCACGCATCTGTCTGCCAACTTGGGTTTGCCGGCTATGAACGATTATCCCCAAACTTCTGGTGTTTCTGCGACACCTACATTATTTCCGAACTATGCACCAGGATTGTATTATAATGTGTTCAATCCGGAGGAGAAATTGCCCGCAGGTCAGTTCTTGGGGCGGTGATTGTCAGGTATAGGTTTGCAGTTTTTCCCCTCAAAAGCTTGTCTTTTAAGACCAAACCCCTCAATATTCCTGTAGAATAATCTAAACATGTTTTCTTGCATTGCGATGGAAACGTTCATGAGAACCCGGAACGGTGAACGCCTCATCATCTACAGAATACAGGTGTTTTTGTTATATCCAATAACCATTTAATCGCACTGTCGAATAGGTGCATTGGTTTTTGTGAAGATACTGGAAAATCCTTCATATCAGGCGGTTTCAGATCATACTACAGATATTACCTTTCCAAAATTACCTATCACCACACCCACTCAGAACTCCGAGAAGCAAGTCTATAGATTCGCATCATCAGGCAGTACGTCCCTCCTTTCTCACAATATCACTGTAACATATGCTCCGAAATCTGTTGTCATGGTTGGGAATTCCTGAATATGACTTACTAGTCCAACGAGATCTCTTCGGGTGGTGCAAACATTTACGGGCTTACCATTTTCTTTACAGATTATGCTGAATTCACATCGGTGAATTTCGGGTTGGAGAAAATACCTGTTTTTCGAGATGGCTACCCCACAGTGAACCTTGCTCTTCGAGGTCCATAAACTTACTATATAAGCCATCTATGCTAAAATGCTGGCCGTGCAAATGAAAACAAATCGTTTTTCATCCTACTTCCCGCTCCGGGAAGTAATGCTTTCGGTTGCTGTGACAGCTGCGCTCTCAGTTTTGGATAACCAGTGTTTTATATTCCTTTTTCAGGTTCCAAAGTCACTGAATTCCCCCATAGCTTTGGCTACAGCGATTTGAAACTGTACAAATTTCCTGGCGATGAGCTTCCAAGTCGGTTTGCCTGGATGACCGGTTAGTCGAACAATTTTTTAATTTTTTTCAAAGAATGGGAGTAACAGGCTTACCGACTTTTTGCTTGCAAAAGTCATTCAAAAAGTTTGCTGGCATTGTACGTCCATATCTAAGTGCACGTCACTTAAAGTATTTCAGTTTAGACTTATGGACGAAAAACCCCCTTATGATTGACTGCTCTAAATTCAGCAGTTCACTTTTTTACACATAACTTATCTACAATTGAGGAGGAGGTCCACTATGGGGGGTTATTAGTGCAAAGTACGAATAAAAACATCGAGAAGGATTCACAAATACGTCGGTCGTTGATTTTCATTACACGAGTATTTGCTGTTTTGTTGTCTTCGTTTGGAGGTCGCACTAATCGCAGCGACTGATCGCAGGTAGCTGCCATTAGTCCGCCAATATTGCTTTCACGTCTTACTCTTTCACATTTTCTCAGTCCTGATTGTGATGTTTTACTCCCGGATAACTTCGTTCACGTGGTAAGTTCTACTTACTTCAGTGATCTGACAGATGGAACTTCCGATCGGTTCATCAAGGTTCGGGCAACTCTCGCCTGAAACCGTCATGCGGTGATGAACAGATGTCACTCTTCCACTGAACGACTTTTCACGAACTGTCTTATTGTACGGATACGACTCGTGGCCTGTGTGACTCAGGGTATTTAGGAACTAATCGATTTTTGTACCGATGCGTGCAAAACCCCCACTCGTTGTGAGAGCAAAACGTCAGCAGTGGTGAATTTCGCCATCTTGTGTTTGTTATAGTTAACTGATTCCGTCTTTTGAGTTATATCCCAAAAATATCGAGTCGCGCTGGTTTGACCTATGCAGATTTAATTGCAGTTTACTTCAAAGAACACTCTTGGCACCTACTGGATCTAACTGAAAACGAGCACCGGATACTGAACTGCGAACGTGGCGAAAACGCCTGATGATGAATTTTTATAGGACAAATCTCGTCTCCTCTGCGTTACTACATTGTGATTTGCCCTAAATTGGATTACAAAGCCATCTGAGTTAACAGCGGCACCACTTTTGCTGTGTAGCAATACACCTTCCCTTTGAATGTGATGTTTCACTTGTTGATTGACACACATATAGTTTCACGAGGTGGTTCGGACTTTGTAAATCGCCCTTCTATCCACTTTTGTTGTCAAGGTCCGGGAATCTATTTCGGTCATTTGAAAACAGAACAACTAAATTTACCCCCCTTTTCGATGCCGCCGTCGGAGGTCGGGGCAGCTGACTCTTCGCTGTCTGCTGTGGACGACCCTACTGATCGTTCGTCGAACCGTGTTACAATGAATGGCCAGAATACTACACAACCTCGCGATGTGTTTGCTGGTAGGGTTGTCAACTTGTTTCGAAAGACGAAACTCCTACCTTATCCGGTGATCCGAATGCTAGAGCACACTGGAGTGCCTCTGGGAATCTGTCTTACTGCCTTTCATGTCATTGTTGCTTATGCCGATCGGGTAAAGGCAGTCAATATCCTGGATGACCAAACTGTTTTCTCTATGCCAATCACGCCCGAATTGAACGGAGGACGCGCGCTGGGTGTTTGCAGAGATCCCTCTTCCAGCATTGTGTGGTTTTTCAGTAATCAGGGTGTAGCCCTTCTGAATATACGGAACGAAACATGCAGGGTCTGGCAAATCTACTTAGATCGAATGTTGTTCGATGAAGCTCGGAAATTTTGTCAGGTTAGTGATACTGTGCTTTGCATTGAGAAAATTTCAAGTTAGATTATTAGTGTCGTCCCTGTCCAGTCCGTCATTTCCACCACATCTTTCATTGATGGACACCTATTACAAAACATTTGGTAACTAAATGGTGAATTTACTACCGCACAATGTTTCACTTGATACAAATGTCCCGTCGGCTAATTGAGTAACTTACCAGGCCGATCGAGTTTTATCGGAGATCGTGGAATGGCTCATTTTGGCTTATGGACTTATAGGGCTTGGTATGCGGGATGCGGACCGCTTAAGCTCGAATGGTGGCCTTGCGAACGATTAGAATACTCAGACAGGCCTTATTTCCTTTGATCACTTCCGATCGTTCGCCTGACTGTGGCGTGGGATTCGCATCTCTCGTAGCGAGGGTCGGATACTTTGCCATTTTCCCCCTAATCATCCTCAGTGTTCCACCTTATGCAGCAAGACTGCTATGCTTCCTTCTTAAGAGCAAGATATGCTTCATTTTCTATCCTTACATACAGACAGAATCGCAGTTGGACACGGTGAACATGAGGGAAGCCGAACATTGTTTCAGTCATGGGGAGTAAGTCGTCTGTTTGCGCGATGGCTGTACGATTTAGTACGGATACTTTTCCGGAGGTTTGCTCTACTTTCCATCTTGTTTTCATGCGGACTCAGATTTCTTTTCATGGCATAAATCATACCGGTGATAACAGACTACTAATTCTTATCGGGAAGAAGATTATGATCGTAATCAAAGGGTAGCTGTAGCGTTGTTCATTCGTCAGTGTTTGGTTCACGGATATACGACTTGTTGGTGGAAAGGTTGCTATGCGTGCCTATCATACATGGCTCATTGCACGTAATCTGAACTGAGAATCACCGGTGAGTTGAGTCTGATTTGTTCTCCCCTGAGATAAAGTTTCCCCTTGAAAGGTCATCTTCAGATGATAAGATTCCTCTAAAGGGACAGCTTCTGGCTTCTTTCATGAAGATTATGTGAGATTTTAGGATCTTGCTGCGACCAGTACCGCCCAAATATTGAAGTAAATTTTGGTACAATTTTCCCCTCCACTTGTATGAAAGCCGGTGCTAGATTCAAATATGTGTGCATGTGCAAACCCAATTTGATTTGCGTACTTTGATGAATTCATTTTTATGATGTGCATTTACTCATGTGGTACTGATGATCAAATTTCACCTACTGAATTGGGATTAATGACCATGATTTTGCACTCGGTATTGGTCGATTTGAAAACCAAAGTCTGCCCGATTTCCTGCCAGTCAAATCCATTTGGTCTTTGTCTGCGAAATCTCAAAGTCAGATGTGTAGGGCACCAACAAATGGAGGCGCGTAAAATGACGGGCACCACAACTTCGTCTTACCGCTGTCACGTAAGCTTTTTAGACCAGAACTTCGTTCATGATTTGGCGCGACTACGTACTGGGATATAGCGGAATAGGTGAGATAAGTGGATATGTTTTTCGAGCTAGCTTCGTTCAAGAACCAGGGAACCTGTAACCTCGAAAATTTGGCCGTCTCTTCATGTGGTCACAGAAGAATCCGTAACGAGAAACCCGTTTCTACTTAACGACTGGAAGCATCAGCCGTACTTTGTTATGAATATCTGTTGACCGTGTCAGACTTTCCCGGCTATTCGTAGTCATCAGTCCTCTTAGAGGGCATGATAAGTGGCAATCAGTTTGCTTCGAATTCGGCTGAACATGTATGTCTTCTATCCGTTTTGGTGAATGTCTATGTGGCGATGTGTCCAGATCACCAAAACCTCAACTGTGTAAGGCTCTTTACAATGTCAGTCTCAACAGCACCAACTCCCTGAGTCCTAATAAGCAATTAAGGAGTCGTGACTGAGGTTTTCGGAATGCGACCGTGCCACTACAAATCCTTGACGCGTTAATTTTTGACGTTTGATGGGCGTCCTCCGGAATTTTTTTCAATAAACTAGACGATTAGATGGAGAACACTACTCATAAGGTTCCTGAAAGCTCTTTGATAGTAACCTTATGTATTGCATTATCTCGAATATCGTATCAGCGGAATGGTGAGTCAGCCTTGTACAGCACATTTAGTTAACGAACATAAACGACGGATTCAGTTGCATCCACTTGAGTCTTCTTTAGAAGCCAATTTAACGTGGAATGCAGTTCGTGGATGTGAATGACCAGTTGAGTGCTCTGAAGGAGAACCACTAGCAAATACAACCAATTGGCGCAGAAACGACCAAAGTTTTGTTGCTGAGAGTACCATGAGGCCCGAAAAATCTGGGATTTTTTCTATATGCATAGTCCGCACTTATTTTCCAATCACATATAGGATCATTTTAGTAAGAAAACTTGGTGTGGCCGCACCTGTTTTCCTAACCAACTTCTTCACTAGCTTCCTAAATGCAAACACTCCGACTACTTCCTTCAATTTAGGACTTTTATTCCTTGCTTAATACTTGTCAATCGAATTCTCTTCTCGTTTAATAGCTTCATGAACTCCGCAAAACTCTTTGCCCGTACGTCTGTTCCTTTCGAGGAGGTAGCATTGCGTTTTAGTCAGCTGTCCTTGATGCAACAACAAGCTTGCCGTGCCAGCTCACCCCCGGTTCTTCAAGGTTTAGCCGTGAAAGATGATCTCGATGTCATGGATGCCATTATTCACGGGTCCGATGAGGCGAAAAAATCCTCCAAGCTGCCACTTCTAAATGGCAGTAAATCCGTGACCGAACTCACCATCTCTGCTTCGGCACCATTGAAAACACTTGTTTCAACGAAATTACAGCAATTGATCGAACAGAAGTCAGTGCCATTAACAGGCAATGCCGGCATTCCATCGGCGAAGCAATCTGCACCCACCAAACACACTTCCATATCGGGGCAAATTACTCTCCTTTCTCTGTGGTTAGCTGAACTCCTGATTACGGAGATCAGCTTCTTTCGTGATCGCCTGGAAAAGCATGATTCCTCACAGGATGGCTCACGTTTGGAGACGGCTTCTGAAGAATTCCGGCGTTTGTTGGCCACTCCCGAAGTTCTGGTGAGTATGTACGTCGTTCAGTACCCTGCTAGTGTGGTTCCCATCAGGATACCTAGAAAACGCATTCGGAACTGTTAACCTTCCAAATTATGTTTCATCAGTCGCAAATGTGGAGCACTCTATAGTTATTCGTAAAGGTGTGGTAGCGGAAACCGAACATCGAACTCCCCTCAGGTTTTATGTAAGAAGTCAGGGTGGGGTCAGTTCTATGTTACGCAGTTAGCCTGAGTCATTACATTCTGCGTTGCGCTCTGAATGGTGATACCCTCTAGTCTTCCCTGGGTAACAGAATGCTGAATGCTTGAGAAGGGTCAACGATGTAACTCGTCCCAATGATGTGTCTCACAGCTGATGACTCCCAGGTTCTGTCACCCCATTTCAGCTCCTAAAAGTTAACTGCATGGTTCTTAGCAACTTTTCTGGAATGACTTCGTCGTCCCACTGAAAAGGACATTCACGCATTCTACCCAGGTATGCACTGCTGCAACAGAAAGTGAAATGATCTTTGACGCCAACAACCAAAGTTATCTGGTTGTAGGAATCAGGCATAGCTTAGTAGCCGGAAAAGTCGTCCGTGTACCGTTATTAGTAGTGTGGTCGACAGATACAACAAGGCTTCCTAGGACCAGTGCACATCAGATCCTATGGTGTATTCGGTCCATTCTGAAGAACCATGAACTTTTTCTAGTAACTGTTTGCAATCAATGGCCTTCAACGAGGCCCGTTCAGTCAGTTGGCCAAGCCGCAATATATTCCTCACCTTTACTAAATCTCGCTTACGCACCCAATGTGGCTTGACGGTATACCCTTCATCGGAAGTTCGAGTCGTCAAAACATTTAAGAAAACTAAACTTTCATTTGATTCAACTCTATCGGACGCTGACAAGTTGGGGGAATATTGTTCATCCACAGTCCCTGATGTAGAGTTGATGGCTTGAGGTGTTATCACACAGCTGCTCTTCGGTCCTTGTCAGGAAAATATCCACCAAGACCGCGCCCATTGTGCATCCCATAGAAACATTTTCAGTTTATCTGTACGTAGTTGCTTCAAAAGCGAAACGAATGTGCAGGGCTGTATAAAGATTTCCACTAATTCAGCTGTTATACCCAGTGAGGCGCCTGCGTGGTAATAGTGTCACAAAAGTAAACAAGTGTCACCCCCTAGTGGGGATTAGTGAACAAGGAACCAGCGTCAGTGAGAAATATTTTGATGAACTCTGAAGTATCCGGAAAATTTTGAGGCAATTACTTGTGACGGCTTTCAATGTATGTATACGACCTTAGTTTTGGGCATGTTTTTCAAACATATAGGTAGGCTGCAACAAGTGCTACTGAGTGCTAGGCGCTTTTGCTCAATCATAAGCGTGGCGTATTTACCACAGTAGTTTGATGTAAAAACGTACGTAGTACATTCCTTTGTGGTGTGCTTCTTGCCTTGCCTGGGATGTTTTATGCTGGTCAGCAGATTAGGTTACTGTTATCATTGGGTTCCGGCTGCTCAGTGAACGGTTCTTCGTGTATTTTGATTCCCTCGTGTACTGGGATGGCTGTTGGGCAGTTACCTTATTTTTGTGTCGTTGGTTGGGATCTCGTCATTCAAGGTCTGGATTTACCTAACCATGGGTGGTGTATCGTGGCATCAGTAAATTTGAAACATTTTGGTCTCAAAACTGATATTAGATTGCGCAGCTGCTTCTCCCGTATGTTGCCTATCGGGTAGTGAGGAGTGTCGCGGCTTTTTCCGGCCCCATTTTACTCGGGATCAGTGTCGGTACAGAATAACACCGTTTGCCGAGCCGGATTTGTGGCAGATGTGAACAAAGGGAACAGCACGAAGGGAAGCAGCTGAAAAGTATGAAGTGAGTTGTGGTTCAGTAGAGATATTGTTGGTGTCATTCGCTTTTTATGCTTAGATTTCGGAGACTTTGCGCTTTTTCGTTGTCATCGAACATTCAGTCGATATAGCTGAGTTGTTAATGTGCAAACTTACTGACGGGAAGGTTCGTACTCAACCTCTGCATCTAAACTGCTCCTGTCCAGGCTTGGGCAACCTGACAGTATCTCAGCTCTTGTGCTTCCGCCAGGTAGCATGACAGCCAGGCACCGAAAGGGTAACAGCTAAATTATTTTTGGAGTATTTTTTGTAGCATTCGGTTTCAGTGGCATCCTTTCTGCTATTTCGCGCCCAGATTATCTGACTGTATTCCTGTTTTGGCTGTTGTCTTATTTGCGATAATTTCTTTTCAAATAAATCTTATTGTTTATGAAAACCAAACAGCCACCGTCGTTTTGGGGAACATTACCCCGTATTCTCATCACATCGTTGTACCTGCGTAATAAGTACTTTAACGTTTACACTGCTTCCCTCTTACTTTCTGACTGTATTTTTCAAGGCTATTCTACCAGATGCCAAAGATCTACTGTACGATCTTATCGAAAGCCATGGAGGTGATGCAGAAATTGTGTTTCTGGCAGAACTTTTGGGCGGTAGGTCGATCTACAACGATAATTCGTTCCCTTTTTATTCATCTATTGTAGGGACCCGAGATTCTACTGCTAGGACAGAGGCTTTTGGGGACACCGAAGTCTTGAAGGCATTCGTATTTCTCGAACTAATTGGTTGGATGTATACCCAACTACTAGAAGGAGTAACACAACATTTGAAGCGGCCTTTTACTGCTGGGTTCATCGGAAGCACTCAGTCAGAAAATCAGCTTAGGAGTTAGGTGAACAAGATCGATTGTTTTTACTGCTTCAGTCAATGTCGGTTACTTAACCGCTATCGAATATCGAATTGTCGAACAATAAACTTTTACTTCCCCTTGTCATTTTTGCTAGTGATTCACTCAACAATATTCTGCACACCCTGCCAGAACTGCTCCACTTAATCCACAATGCAGCCGTTGTTCCTGTTGTCAAACTAGTAATTCAAGACTATTCGATCCGGACAGGAACCTCCAGTGAATCTAGTCAATCATTAATGTTTCCGGGTTATGCAATTCCATTTATTCTTTCAAAATAAATAACGTACAAGGATGTGCAAAAATAGCCTTAGGTTAGAGGTTGCGGTCTCCGGTTTCGCATGGCGACTGGATGTTTATCAACGGAAATTTCGATTTGCCATCAAATTGTACAGTCGATAATGGCTTTTCGCTCATATTTGAAGTTAAGGTTGACCCTCGAAGTCAGGCTCTTCAAAATGGTTCTTAGTAGCTGGGAGAAATGAAGCAGTTACCAATAACCTCCGTGGTCACTTTTTATGGACAACCCCCAATTTTAAGTCCTTCCGGGTGCCACAGATTCGCTGAGAGTTTTTTACGCTACTGCTCTTCTGATTTAGACCACCCACGCCTGGTTACTCACTACATGCGTTTGGGCATGCACAAGGACGCGCTACGAACACTTGGTGCTAGCTCAAGGTGCATATCCCTGGTTTACGAATACTCGACGACCTTAGCACTTAGCTGTCCAGAGGATGTTGTTACCGTGTGGTTACGATTGGGTAAACTTCTTGATCCAGTCAAGTAAGTCCCTTCTAGAACTGTGGTTTGAAATTTCCAATGCAAACGGAATATTCTCATTCGTATCCCTTACAGTATTCCTTTGTTTGATTATGTGCTAACGTGTGCTTTTTTTCGGGAGTAAAACATACTGCGGGGACTAGGTTTTGTGGCAAGCCTGAATATTCTTTGCCTTCCAAAACTTGAGTTGCGCAAGACGCAACAGCATAAGGTGAATTCAACTGCATCTCATCTGTTAACCGAACGCTGAATTAGTATCCGAAATCTTTGAATGTTTGCGTTATTGAAACTAGAGTGTTCATGTGGATTAACTGATGATCCTTTGCTAGCTCCGTATGTCTGAATATCATGCTAATGTAAACTCACTGGTAACCCTACCATCAATTTTGACTAGGGCTCGCAGACTCAAAGGAACACAAATAACCATCAATTGCCCAGCAGATCAAAGGCGTCCGTGAACTTGCGAAATTTCTAATATTTAATTTGCTGATTAGCACATCTGTTGGAAGCGTCGCACTTTAGGTGTTGTACGTTGACTGGACTTTTTTTGCAATAGGTCCCACTTCTTGATGCATAAGCCTCGAGGATCACAGTCATCTAGTTAACGACCTGTTGACGCGATGTAATTCACAATACGTAAGACGTTTGACTGTTGCTCTCAAACCGCACTAAGGCTCGTCTTCTGCTGCCCTCAAACCAATGAGGTTTCAGATAAATACTGTCAGATTTTGATGTCTCATCCAATAAAGCTGAAAAACGGTAGCACGGTATGGGCAAAATGAATGATGTAGGCCTAGTTCAACGTCCAATGCAGTAAAGTCAAACAAGTGTTTAAATGCAAGCAAACTACTTAGATTGACACACCAGACCAGCCTATGCGATAAAATAGTGCTGGAGGTTTCATACCTAGGGAGAGGTAACAAACGGATTAGTCCATCTTTCTCAGCGGTCAACTATCAACGTAGGCGATACACCATGTACGTATCTACCCTCCTGCGATGAATTCCACACATGTCAGAGCACCACCCGCGCTACCCACGTCCTGCTTTAGTCCAGTCTCTACAACAGCCGTTCGTGACGTTTCAGGTCATTTTGACGTGAGATAGACATCTCGTCCCCAAATCAAACCTCAATTTGCTTGATGTGTGAGGCGAAAAACAAGCCAAAACACAATAAGTGACGTCCCGTCCTTGGCTGAGTGCAGTCTCGTATCTGTCCAGTTTGTGAAATGACATTGAAGTTATTTAACTGGTGACCCCATTCATGGAACTATTCATCTTTAATCGAAAAACTCAAGGTCGACGCTCCTCCCAAAACTTTCGGACAAAAGTCAAGGTCGTGCGTCTTAGGAAAGCCTGAGAGTCAATCGAAAACCTACGAGTTGTTGGCCAAAGTATTTGGGGCGAATCGTCTAAAGTAAAGAACCTATTAGGAACCGCGTACTCAAACCCAGAGGAAGATTATTCGTCTGGTGAAGTACCCCTTCTCGGACTAGAAAAAAATATGGAACTTATCCTAAATCTAAGTAATACTACATCGCTCAGTAATTTTCCTGGAATTTTTTACTGCATTCATCTGATGGTTCTCTTAGGGGCATCCATGAACAGTTTTGTAGTGTACGTAGATTGATACCTTCATATCTTCATTAGATTGCGACGTAGTCTCAATTAGGGGCGAGATGGCTCAGTGGTTAGAGGGCGACTTTACCAAGCGAAAGTTCTGTGGTTCGAATCCGACCTCTGCCTCTCGACTTCACCTGTCTAGGCTTGAACAACCTGGCAGTATCCCAGCTCTCGTGCTTCCTTTGGGTGGCGTGGCAGCTACGCACCGAAAGTGTTACAGCTGAACGAATTGCTTTTTTATTAGTATCAAATTAGACAATAACTCGAAGTATGGACAATTTAGGTGTCTCCGAATGGTGCACCTTATGAAGTGGTAGTGGCGTAATACTACTTTTGTCATGGTTCTGTTTTCCCCGTAGTGGTGCATCGTAATTTCTTTCATGTTTACACTCGTTCATCTTTTTTTGTTAATGGTAGTTGTTATAAGGGACATATCCCAGCACAGACTGAAATCCATATTGTTTCTTACTACGCGATTTCTAGTTTTCCTCTTGAATCCATGTAGAATGTATCTCACAATCTTCGCAACTTTCATCAACGTTTCACTTACGGACTAGAATACTTACCTCCGATTGGTTACCAAGCCATTCTTAAACCATGACTTGACTTCTCAACCCAAACTTTTTCCAATGGATAGAATACTTATTGTTTCAGACTGCTACCAGCTATCATGTTGCTACCATCCAAGCATGCGATGCGGTATCTTCAGACTGCAGTCGAACGGTACGCCTGTACCGATCAAGCTGTTCATCATCTGCTCATCTCTTTGTGTGCGGAAGCATCATCTCCCTTGTCCAATCAAGCGCCAGAATCTGCCGATTCAAAAGACTACCTAATGTCATATTTGGAATCCGCTAGCGCTCATGCCTTGAACATGGTCGATGCTGCTGGTCATTCTCAGTTCAGTTTGCAAGAGCTGATGTCCACCACATTGTCCTCCGAAGCATCTGACGAGCCGAATTCGCTGCTTATGGGTTTCGACACTTCCTTCATGCAATCTTGTGAGTACGGATCTATTAACTTGTTGTGCACTGTGGTCTGTCTGCAAGCTTGTTAGGTTAGTGCTATGCAACCGCGTAGTTTTTCCGGGTCTCCCAGATATAATTCCACTGAAATGAAGTTAAATCTTGATAAAGATTTTCGAGTGCAATTGTTTAAATTCTTCATAAAAACTGTCTAGGTACCTTTCTCAGGTTTGTCTCACTTATAGGACAAAATTTCCAATAAAACTCCTAATGCTCCTCTATGGATAACTTCCTTGTGGTTTTTGGATTGGCATTCTATCTTTAACAGCGGACTCGTGGCGCTTCTGAGGAAAACGCATCCTTTTATCAGCACCCACTGTACAAACACGTGGAACACAGTGGCATAATGTCCAAGTGCGGCTACTAGGTTCCTTTTATCCGAGCAGTCGTGTGCACGATAGATTTATACAGCTGTTTCAACCAATCACCGGCACCCAACCCAATTGTGGATCACACAGGGTTCCTATGCGCTGGATGGTGGATGATACCGTCAGCTTCCTACGTTTGTGGGATCATGAACGATTTGGACACCCACCGAAGTGGGCAATGTGATATGAAGTCTCCTAACTCCCCTTATACTACAATTTAGCGTTGGGTTACTGGTTGGTACTGGTTTTTTTTAGCTCATCACTACCCTAGCGACAAGTCTAATATACACTAGACCATAGACTTGGATTTTAGAATTTAAATGAGAGAAGTAGGTTGCTTTGGCTCCCAAGACGTTATCCCCCGTGCGTTTCATTCTGGTTAGGATCCGTGATACGGATATAGTATCCGGTTACGTGACGCCTCACTATGTTGTCACTGACTACTTCTTATTGCGTCAACCCTCGTCCTCTCCGCAGTCAGTATCGGCTTAAAAGACAAAACTTCTAGTGAGCCCCTTTTACCCGAGGTTAACGGACGCCAGACCCAATAGTTACCCTAACAAGCTATAACTTTGATCGCTCGAATCATGACTTAATTGAGAACTTTCAATAAATTTCACTCATGTTAATTTTTTAAGTGGTGCGTAACCAGTCGGCCAAATAGTCGACTACCGTTATCATCACACGTCAGCAACTGTCCCTAACTTCCCATTGAACGACCTCCCTACGATCTAATCCCGGAAATTTGGATTTCGTTCATCATCTGCTATATGAGTTCACATGAAGCTTGCATGCAGTACAGCTTATGAACGGTGAATATAGAAGATTCCTCCCAACAATTGGTAACCCTCTTAGGGGGTCTTTTAACAACCAGATTGTTTCCTCACTGGTAGAAAAAACTCCTAGAGAACATAATCGGGAATTTTTCGCCAGTATTAGATGCCTTTTGATTGTTATCCAGAGTGATCACATAGTTCGATTTAAATTATGTGGTAGGCTACTACGCACCATCCCTAAGCTACCTAGGAAGAACTGCGGGGAGCTACCTTAAAGGAAGCTTGTTGCTGCTGTTTGTTGTGCGTACCCACTGACCGGAGGAACGAGACTAATGAGGCAAGCTCATTTCGACTGGCCTATTGATTTCTGTAGTAAGTGGCGTGAACGCCAGTTTCATTCGGCTCCCGGGTGAATTTCCGGAGCCCGATGGTCATAGTGACGGTGCTTTCCAAACGATCTCTGCAAGGTCAGTGCACTCGGTCGTGTAGAGGCTAAACGTTCCCTCAAACCGGGTGGCCTCGGCGATTTTCTTCGTACTAGGATACCAAACTCGCTTCATGTGGGATCTCAGTTGCAAACTAGCGTTTGTGCTGCGGCGTTTCCGATAAGCGACGCAAGCCGTACTGTCCCAGTGTCCAGGGTGACAGGTACACTGGAAGTCCTCGGCTATTTTGCGGGACCGAAAGTGGGAACACGTGCATATGGTGGTGGGTTCAGGTATGCAAGGATTACGTTGTCAGTCATCCACACACTGACATCAGTTAACTTTTTACTGACAGATAAGCTCACTTTTCAACTACCCCTTGATAAAATTCGTTTCAGCGTTTTTAATTTTCGGGCATAATAGTAAGGATGATAGTTTTTCGGACTTATCGTTATTATCTAATTGAAGATTCGTAAAGGTCTTCTGTATATTGAACGTCTTCCACTATTCCCGTTGCACTACAGCTCTCCCCTATGATCCTGGCTTCGTACTTCGCACTTGCAAAGAGACCGGTCACCTGCAGGGGACAGTGTTCATTCTCAAATTACTGGGTATGCATCAACAAGCCCTTCAAACTGCGATTGACTCGGTAGGTCGACGATTTATTTTTGACATATTATCGTCTCCTCTGAAGGGACTACGTAGAGAAATCGACCAAAAGTGCTATTATGTGAAAGAATTTTAAAATGTATTTCTAAGGGCCAAACTTACATGATCTTCTGAGGACTGGCTCCTTCAGAGAGACGCAACTATGCATTGAGGCTTGTGTTCACCACAATTCCATTTTCACGTTTCCATTTACTACATTACGCATAGGACAATATTCCGTTGGCAAAGGCGATCGCGCAAAACGAGGCTTTAAATGTGGAAACAAGGCGACAACTATGGATGATCATAGGCAAGTGATAATCGTTTTTTATACTTTTTTCCGGCAGTCTGGTGTAAACAATCCAAAACCACTCAGGGGCGCCCGTGGAAGAGATCAATGTCGGTGATGTGGAATATAAATGACTTGAGTGCGCTGCTTGGTTTGTTTGTTTGCCCAGCCTGACATCTGAATTGTGTTCGTTTCGTCGCCGATAGAGGAAACATCGTCAGTGCGCTGACGGTTTCCCTAGTCGTTAAGTGTCCATGCTAGTTTTTTGTCGTTGGCAAAGGCGATCGCGCAAAACGAGGCTTTAAATGTGGAAACAAGGCGACAACTATGGATGATCATAGGCAAGTGATAATCGTTTTTTATACTTTTTTCCGGCAGTCTGGTGTAAACAATCCAAAACCACTCAGGGGCGCCCGTGGAAGAGATCAATGTCGGTGATGTGGAATATAAATGACTTGAGTGCGCTGCTTGGTTTGTTTGTTTGCCCAGCCTGACATCTGAATTGTGTTCGTTTCGTCGCCGATAGAGGAAACATCGTCAGTGCACTGACGGTTTCCCTAGTCGTTAAGTGTCCATGCTACAGTTTTTTGTGGATAGGTAAATAAATACTCATTTTTCTACTCCAGATCACACAGTAAGAAACAAATATGTAATAATTCATTTATTAATTTTCAAAGTTACTACTTTATACAGTTATGACAACTAGATTGTTGTGTCGTTGATGGTAGCACGTCTGTGCAGGCATGCATTCTATATGATTTTGACGTCTTCGACCATGTTCACTGATCCTTAAGGTGGATCATGGGAATGCGGTGTTCCAGGAACTAAGACCTGATTTGTCAAAGCATTCCAGCGTATACAATTGCTAAATGTGTGTGCATTTGCGTTGCTTCGGATAAGCCACCTTCTGTCTCCAATCATATTCGTTTCATTCTTAAGCTCGACATGTGATTGGCAAACAAAGCAACATGCAGGAGGCCACCAGTCTGCTGCGTGAATGTCCTTTGCTGAAGTTGGAAGATTTACTCCCCTACTTCCATGATTTCGTCACGATAGATCAGTTCAAAGTAAGTTCTTTTGCATCTTGTACATTGAGCACGTCTATGATAGCACCTATCTGGACAGGTCGTAACTGCCCGAGTCTCGGAAATGTTATTTTAATCAAATTAGTGTTCTTATGAAGAGTTAGAATGCTTCTTAAGATTCAGTAAGAAGGCTTTGTGCCTGTTATATCAACAGTAAACCCATTTCTATTTCGATCATATTTCACTGAAACACCTACATACTTTAGCATGCAGTTTATTGTCACTCCGTCCTGCCATCAATGTACTGTCGAAACCTTTCTAAAGTATACTAAAAGTTTTATTCAGTGTTAGGCACCTGTTTTACCATATTTTTTCCGACTGAAACTGGGCACCATAGATCGGATTGCATGGCACGTTCAGGTCACCAGTACCACTCACTAATCATTGAGATCAAATCAAAGGCTGTAGAATAATGTCTGTATAAATTTATTTCAGGGACGCCAGAGAAATTCGTTCAAATCTTCTTTGTCGTAGTCCCGAGTTGTTAAAGTCGTTGACAGCTTAAGCCGTGCATATTTTTCGCTGTTAGGGGAATAACTATCTCAGGCTGGTGTTGTTCGTTGAGTTGAGCAAGTTGGCTGCTTGGGTGTCGTCGAGTAACACCTGCTGACCTAATTGCCACGTGGTGAAACGAGCATTTCTCAAATGTTTTACGGATCAGTGCGGTCCGGTTGTTACTTCAAATTGAATGGCCTCTATGACTAGCTCTGTGGATTTGGTTCTCGTTTAATTTGCTCACAGATCGGTATGAAGTGTATTATGGCAGTGCTCCTCTGACTGACGGGCTTGCTATTCAGCTCGCCCTCTGACTGACGGGCTTGCTATTCAGCTCATCTGTGTCTATCCCCTCCCAACCTGGCAACCAACTCTCAGCTATAATTGCTACCGCTGTCTACGTGTGATAACTGCCTAAATCGGGCGGTGCCCCCTACCCCCCAACCTGGCGGGCTAAACTGGGTGAAGGCAGCCACGTCGGTTTAGCCCACTGGATAGCACATGAATGCACTTGGAGCGGGTCGGGCGAATGAGACCAGGTTTTTTATCCAACAGCTATAATGGCGCTTCCCTTCAACTTCTCCTCACGTCTTCGATGTTACTTTGCTGGTTGAGCTGAGTTGTGTAGAGGCTAGGCCTGCACTGTCGAAAAAGCGAAGAATATCAACAGCGCGTCATAACTGTCGCAACTCCATGCTGTGGGTTCCCCGAAAAGCGATCCACCTGGCTTTCGGCCAGCACCGCAGATGAAAAGATTACGAGCTCAATAAACGAAGCATTCTCACGTTGGATGTTGGAATGTGTGGATCAGTATTGCTCGTCGCAATCCGTGCGTCACCACCGCAGCCTTCACGTGTACCATGTAGACATCGCTTGTTGATCCGAAGTTCGGCTTTTCGGTCCCGCCATGAGATATTCTTTCGTACGCAAACCATAAGTTGATCACTTACTCAACGCAGTGGCCCGTATCATAAACCAGGGATTGATAGAATGTTTGGCTGATGGGTGGATGCCGATGGATGTGATTGCCCCCTGTCTCTTGAAAATCGACTTTTTCTTCAGATACCGCTGTATTGGATGCTCTTCATCAGTTTTTATAAAACCACTTTCACCAGTTACTCATTGTCACCGCCGACAATGGCTTGAATAGTCAACCTTTCTTCGCTACAGTGAATGACTGTGTAGCACGATGTGTTACAGTGTGAGTAACTCCTGTGGACTTTTGAGTGATTCGGATGATAATCGCCTAAAGGCTTTTAGCCTCCGGTCGCCTAATAAACCTCAGCTTACATCTGGAACACCATTTCCGATCAGACAGTAATAATCTTAATTTGCGCGATATAGTATGATATACGAGTTTGAATACCTTCTTGATACTGGAAGCCCAGTCTATACTCGAGACCAGAGACTCCCAAAAAGTATATGCGGATATCGGTGGTGATACTAAGCAGTTTATATGTGGCCAGAATGGTCCTTCATGTCCCTTTATTCATTTTATTCTTTTGGAAGCATAATTGTCTAACAATACTGATATATCTAAAATCAAAGTAGGAACCGTTTATACTAGGCTTCTGCACGTTCTCCCGGTTTTATTCACACAAGCGTCATAATCCGTTGCTATTTTATTGTGTTTCTATGTCAAATGCCCTTGTTAACAGAAAGAAACATGGCTCCCTTAAACAGATCCATTACAGTGTTCAGTCGGGGCGAGAAAAATGTTACCAGTATCCTGTGCAATAATTCGCCGCACTACTTGGCAACTTCTTATGCTGTTTTCTGACTCATAGCTATCAAACGAAACTTCATGTGTTGAAGACATGATGATTAACCCTGTTCTCACACTTTGACAACTTAAGCCGATTGTCCCGGGCCGAATTCGGCTCGGGTTGTATTAAAAATCTCATAAAACTTCGCATTTTGTTGAATATTAGTGAGCTGAATTATACTGGGTTGTAGACTTCAGTTTGTTCTGCTCCAGTCTGAACAAATGAGCTAGTTTACGATCTGTCACAGCTGTCTTTTTTGTTATACTTTTCGGGAGAACATCTCTCTTGAAGAAACGCTCGTCCATAAATTCGACTTACGCAAACAGCACACGTTACGAATCGGCCTCGTTTCCCGAATTGCCCGAAACCACCCTATTGTTTTGCAAAGGATGGTGACAATGTTACTATTTTACTTGCGAATAATCATTTAGCCGCAAAATCCTACACTAACCCAATGCAGGCGAAACTTTGGAACAGCATACCGTAGAACGCTGTGGTGTGGTTTGTAAATGTGGTACTCGCATTCCACGTGGTGGAAAAGGTTTTTGTCCAATGCATATCAACTTCCGTCCAGATTGCTTAGACAGAAAATGCCAGTAGATCCCGGAGGCCTAACGAAAGCTTCTTACCCAGGTAGCTTTTTAAACGACAAGTTTCACAGGTGCTTTTGATGCAGCTTCTGGGCGTCATATTTTAAATTGGTCAGTGTTAGGGAAAAGTTGCGGTAGGAACTGTATCAAGTCACTTTCCTCAATGTGGTATTGACGAAGGGCGAAATGTAACAACGATGTTAGTGACGAAACCTCTACCATGTAGCAGCGATCGGAAGTGTTCACTGAGAGCCTATTCACCTATGGGCAAATGAGCGCAGACTCACTAGCTCATCTTGTAGAGACATGCGCGCGCATAAAACAAGCAAAGAGAACCCCGGCGAAAGCACACTGAAAACGGATTAGGCCAATCCAAACGGAACTGCTTCATCTGTGTCTAGTCAACTCACCCCAGAAAATCGTACAAGTGAACGAAGACCGACGGGAGAACAGAACAAAACAACTTTGAGTGTTTTTAAGTAAGCCTTGATATTTTAAAGCGTTTCGTTCTCAGAATCAGGAAAGTTGAGTGAATGTGAGGTGATTTTTTTTTAAATGGCGAACTTCAGTAATCTGATTGGATCACTCTCCTCGTTAAGACCTCAGACTATCTGTGACTTTTCATCTCTGCAGTTATCGCTATCCTCCCTACTGCTGGGAATTAAGCAGTAGATAAGAATGCCCAATAGGAGCTACGTCGTTAGCGTATCGTTTGGTAGCCTATGTCCTACAATAGGTTGTCGGACTCAACCTAGATGCATTTGGAGTCACTCATCTCATTCCCCTCAAATATACATTACCTAACAGCTTACTGTCCTCCAAAAAAGTAGCGTGGAATAAGTGAGAATAGACCCGCGCCTACTGTCCTCTACTTACCAAGGACTGTTGTGCTTGAGAGGACTGCTCAAAGTGTAGCTGCTTTTTCAAACATTTTTGACAAGATATAATCCTTTTTGCTGCAGATTCTGGCCGGGTTCATCCGATCCACCCTATTTTTTTCAATTTCAGGATGCTATTTGTGCCTCATTGGACTCTTATCACCAAAGAATTGGTGAGGTGAAGCGAGAAATGCATGTGACAATGCGGAGCACCAATGTACTACGAAAGCAACTAGACACTCTGCGGTACCGGTGAGTATGTTTGTGTTTGATTCCGTACCATTCGTTTGAATTGAAAATAGGGATTTGACAGGCCGGAATTTGAGAGACGACGGTACGTTGTTAAACCGTTACTCGGTCTGCCACTTCTGTTGGCATTGTGCTGTAAATATGGATCGAATTTGAGGTCGATGGAACTCCAATCCAAGTAAAGATAATGAAATTGTCGGGAAGGTGGACATCCAGTTCCTTTGGTCATGCACCAGTTACGAGCGGCTATGGTGTATGGAACCAAACCTCTGGAATGATGGCCCAGTACAACTGTCATCTCTTGTTTAGCGACGCTATCTAAAGGCTCTCAAGCGGAACGTCAAGTGATATTGCGGTGACATTCTGGAAAGCTCATCTCCGCTTTTATTATTGATGCAGTTGAGTGTTCTTGTCGCTAAGTCCATGGACCATCCAAAACAATGACCATGTGAGCTGCACTTATACGGGATAACAGCTAATGAATACACAGAATATGAACACATCATTACTATCTAAAGTGGACCCTTCACGCTGTGTCACACGAACTCGGTAAATAAAGAAAGGTCGTTTGCAATGAAATTGCCCACAATGCAACAGCCTGATGCTACACGGAGATCTATCAATAAATAACTGACTTTGAGCTTGGAAGTCGGCGTTGAGGAATAAAATGGACGAGGAAAACCGGCAACCGGGAGAGGTATTTGTGTTCCGGATGTCCCGATTCTCTCATTCTGGCGTCATCCACGAAAGATTGAGAGGCGCTTGTGCATGAGGTCATAAGTTTGATACATAGTGTGTAGCAAACTCTAGAAGAAGAACCGCCCTCGACTGTTTTTTGAAAGTGCCAAAACAGAATGCTGGAATATAAAGGTATCATTCTAGTTGCGACTGTCTCAGCTTCTCGCAGGCAACGTTCTGTTCAGAATTCTTTGGAGTTTGTCCAGGTCGTTGGTGCATTGGCCATGTCTTAACCATTCTACGGTTTCTTGAATATGGCCGTACTTGCAGACGACCATGAATAGAATTCTTTGAAATCATCTGTCGCTCTGTTTTATGGGACAGCTTTCTCAGTGAAATTATCTCCGGAATACCCTTCCCATTGCTTTCATCGTATTCCGAGAACATTGGGCGTGTAAATGTCTACGGAGATTTTTCTACTCTGTTCAGTACCAAAGTAGTGTCCGACACTGCTGCATTCCTGTATTTTCAACTTCGTTATTAAGATGTTTATGGAAGAAACACTGTAACTGTCTATGCTTTTGAGATTCGAACCACTTTCCGAGCTACTTAATCCATCTACTGGTTTTGGTCTGTTCTTTGTACCACCAAAGTGCGAATCTATGGTTCATGTCTGGATGGATGCACATCGAACATGGCTTTCTCTGGTGTATCGTTTCTCTCGGAATTACTGCCGAAAAAGTGAATACCATAGTAGGCAAATCTCGTTCCACCTTCACCAGGCCGTGCTCAAAATTGTCATGCCGGCGAAGAGGAGGGTTTACAATGCCCCAGTGCAGCCTGGGCTGCTGCATGAATGTGCAGTCCGGCCCTTCGCTTAGGGTATGTGCGATGATTTTTTGCGTTGCACCATCCAAGTCTACGCAGCAGTGCAGACGTTTGGTGAGGAAACCGCATTTCCAGTGTTGAAGTGCGAACGCCATATGAGGCAGTTTGTCTTGCGGTCGCTATGTCGAAACTTTGATGTCAGTTGCGCCGGCTTACGTGTCGTGTCTCCTAGTAAACTACATACCTGGTTATATCTTATTTGTCCTGTCAGGGCCAAACTATGGCGTGACAAAATATTAGGAGCCTAATCATATTGAAGTCCACCGTGTGCCAGGGTGGTCACCGAAGAATAACCCACCCCCTGGTTGGGGCCCCTTACCGGTGTGGAGCCTACAGTCAGCACTTTCATGAAATGGGCCGGTTCCTCCGACTTAAGACTGATTCCACTTCGTTTCGCCTGAATAGAACGAAGAAAGCACTTAATTTTTCAGTTGATCTCTAAGGTGCCTCTGTGACCTTTGTTCTCAATAATTCTATTTTTGACAGCTGAATGCAATCCAGTTTCCTCTTTTTGCTAACCCACTCATCGAATTTGTTGTTCTTTTTAGTTATGAGGAACTCGATGTGGCAAACCGATGTGTACATTGCAAGCATATATTGCTTTTACGTGCGTTTTACGTATTCCCTTGTGGACACCAGTTTCACATGAACTGTCTTATACAATTGGTGAGTTGGATGTTCGCCTACAGTGATGCCAGGAAGATATTTACTTTCCAAAGCGTCCTTGCTTGTAGGCGTTCAACTTTTGTATCCTTCCCTAAAACAGAAACCTTCATGTTTGGGTGATATGGTATTCCCTATACCTGAACTTGTAGTATCACCACTGTGACAACTAATACACATTCGTCAATACGCTACAAACATATTAATAAAACTCTGAGGTGTTTTACCTCAGATAAGAGTCACAGGATAACTGATCCCATCTAATCATGGAATGAAAATTAAACCGCTTTTGGAGTTCTGAAGATATCATAAACGACATATCGGGACTCAGACCGACCAAAGGAGTTCACATATAGGAACAAGATTTTTATGCGTGAACCACCCGAAACGTCTAGCAGAATGTTGGGACTTCGGAAATCGTTAAACAATCTAACCGTATTCACTGGCTTTTCTGGCCATCATTTGATACTGAAACAATTTGTGTCGAAATTCCCAGCTATATGTTGTGTGCCTTATCGTATCCACCTTCCGGCAACGACCCAAGGAACAATTGTATCACTTTACATAGGGTTCCAGCTGCATGTTGTCTACATTGGACGTATTGGATGTAGGCTTTGGTGTGCCGCCTGCTGGTGGAAAACGAGCTTCGTTGCTTTCTCTTTCTCACCCCTAAAGTTTTCTTAAAGCGCCACTGGAATGTGTGCTGTTAAAAGGAGGAAAGCCCGTCGCTGTGAAATCATTTATTAACAGATACGAAGTGAGCAGGAAAGCAAACATCTCCATAGGACTTTTGAAATCACTTCCCCACTACAGTTCCTAAAAATTCGGGTTCAAGGCGAGTCTTGAGGCCAGATTAGATACAGAACATAAGCTGTCACAAATTTCATCTCTGAATTGTTGATGCGTTAATGTTATTTAGGCTTCCAAATCTACCTGCTAATATGTCATGTGCGCATCAGTTGTAACTCTAAGTGTGATGATTTCGGCTCTTTCATTATTGCTCGGTGTCCATCACTGTGCTCTCCCTAATTATGACTAATTATGCCACTATACTTTTCGAAAAGAGACGATTATTTCACCATTTGTTGCAGAGCGTTTCAGTGCAAAAACGGAACATTTGACGAAATGCAGTAGTTCACAGCCACCGTCGGGTTCACATTTTGCTACGGGGGATTGCCATGTTTGACTTACTAACATCTTCTAAGCAAATATCCTCTGATGATAATTCGATTGCAGACAAGCTTCATTAGAACATATACGGTGATGTGATTGATCCCTAGGACGAAACGCAATAACTGGTTATAAGCGCTCGAAATGTTTGGTTCTTAACAGGTGCTCCGATTTTTTTGTCCATAAGTGAATTATCGCTGTAGAATGAGGATACTGCACATGAGCCCGATAATGTAGACGGCTTCTGAACCGGCCAGTCTCAAGTACAACAACTTGTACAAATCAGCTGGAACTCACTATGATATGTCGTTTGTCCTATCTGTCATCCTGTAGTGGACGAATTAGTCCACACTAGTGTGGGAATCGTCTGTTTGCACGACTTATGAAGCTCGTTCTTGGCAACCCGCGATAACACCAAAGCGCTCTAGTGCACCCTTAGACTTTCGTGTAAGGTATAGCTAATCTAAAGTTCCTTCATTCACCGGTCCATGTTCCGAACTGATAATGATCTTCCTGTGGCCTCATGGTTCCATATAAGGACTAAAGGACAAGAAGAACATCATGTTTTCAGAAAAGAACAACTCTAGTTGTTTTATTACCCAGCTCTTCTGGAACGATGAGTTCTCAGTCGGTTCCAAACTTTTCCAGTTGGTTGAAGAACAACTCTACTTTCTCATTCCATAACCATACCGATCTTTTGAACTGTTTTAGATTCAACCGCTCCTCACAGCTGAAGAGAAAACAGAGTTGAACGACCTGCTTAAGATGCAGCAACAGGGTGTGTGTGCTTCATCGGTTGACCTGCAAGTGAGTTCTGGATCTCCGCCTTTGTGCGCTGTACTACCCGATGTCCCGAACAGCTGTTATGAATCAAGCTATGTTGTCTTGAAAGTTCGGGGGCCTTGTATACAGCAAACATTCCGTTCGGTGCATTATTTATAAGATGTCCACCAAGGCACAGTTGCTGTTCAACTGGCTAGTGACATGTTTACTAAGCTTGGCAATTGGCATGCAAGCCTCTCGCCACCATTCGAGGACGGTTCATCATTGCGTGGTTGAGTTAGTTTCCTCCTCTATTCCTTGTATGGACCAAAACTTGATGACTGTATAGATCTTGTGTTGTCCATGGTTGGGACATGGTCACTGTCAGTGCACCTGTTTAACGCCTTATCAATGAAGTACCAATGCTCTATGAGTTAACGTTCCCCTTTCGTTCTTGTTTGATCTGATATGGTGACAAGCAGTGCGAATTTATGGAGGCTTGTTAGTACAGTGGTAAGGCAATAAACAAGAGTACTGAAGATCAATCTTCTCTCAACCGTTGACCAGTGAACGTCCCCGAATCCATCAAATTCCAGACCATATATGGAATCGAAGAAGAAGCTGATGCGAAAACCCCAAAAAAATTTCGTACCCCATTAACAATCTTTCGAGCAGCTAGCATTTTTTGACGTAGCCTCCCGAGTTACCAGTATTCTGCCGCACATTTTATTCACTGCACTAGGCGATCACTTGCGCTGCTTTTATGCGAACGATTTTGGGGAAGGCGACAATATTTCGCTGACTGTTGTTCACCACGCATTAAGTTTGATAGCTCCAAGCGCGGACAAGCGCCACTAACCTCTTGGTTGAGCCCTGTTTCCCGCATCATCCTGACCATCTAGCCGGAAAGGAGAGACGGCTGACAGATTGAAGTTTCCGGTTTGGCAACCAGGTCATCGACATGTGGGCTGGTCTATCTGGTGCAATGTGTCATACGTAGAGTGGCTAGCTCGTCTGTACGGGAAAAATCGCTTCTTTCGAAAGCTTTCAGACCTTGCTGTGCAGGTGTCCCCATCTGGCTCGAACATTGAATAAAATGGACGACGACTTGACAACATTCAGAAGTGATTGTATGTGCATTAGTGATTGGAGAATCCTGTTTAACAAGAGGAGGGAGAGGTTCTCATTTGGAGTCTTCTTGAGATTGTCGTCATACTCTTGTTGTATGTTTTCCGCAGGTTTGTTTGTTGGTGTTCCACTTTATAATCGTCGTTAGATCACTGGGGGTTGCTTAGTTTGTGTTACAGTTTCAGCAGGATCATTCATACCTTTATGTTTTTCACTATACTTCCAGAACAAACTGGATCACCTCATCGCGTCAGACTGCGTTAGTTGTGGGCAGCCAGCCATAGACGGAGTTTCTAGGTTGTTCTTCCCTGACCAGACCAGCTATGAGACGGAGGTAGCTGTATGGCAGTGAATCACCATTTCTAATTCATTTGTCTCCAATAACTTTTACTTTTCACTTTGTATTTTCCATCAGCTGATTCTAAAATAAAATCAATCACGCTGTTTCTCGATGCAGACAACCAACGTCTTTGTGGGACTGAATTGGAAACTTTCGAATGACGAGATCATTATATTAGTAAGCAGTGTTCTCAAAATCGCGACTAGTCCTACTAATAAGTGACGTTAGGGTGTCATTAGTAGCTGAAAGTAAATCCATTAGTACATCAAGCCCAAGCTTAGACAGCAGAAGTCCAGAAGCAGAGTTCTGGTTCGAATCACGGACCTTCCGGTCAGTAAATTGGCGCTCTAACCACTTGGTCCATCTTGCCCCCCGACAGATATAGGGCTTGTAGCTTCATGATAGGGAGCTTCGAAATAAGTACCACGGTCGGTTGTAACCTGGTCGTTTTGCTTCCAAAACAACCAAATAAGGTAGAACAAAGAGGTGCGCCACCGTCTTTGAGCAACGCTGATGGATACTCACCAACCCAGAAGAGCAAGAGCGTTCAGAAACAGAAAAGCCTATTAGTACTCCGTAAATTCAGAATAGATCCAAACCGATGGGCCGTAATTCGATTTGACAGGCTTATTGAGGTGTCTATTTTTTGATAATATAATTCCGTGATTTACAAGCCTGTTTCTATTATACAGTAGATATCACAAAAGACCTTTGGGAAACGTTCCTTATTCCTTAAATTGGCTCGGGAAATTTAATGTGCAACAGACAAAGGATCTGACCCAGCCTGCGTATTCCAGATTGATGGGCAGTCAACAGCGCAGCCTCGGCATCGGCTGCGATCAGTTTGTTTCCAGGATTTTTCAGCGTTCGGAAAGTCCTGGAAGTGCAACGTCCCCACACTACTTGAAAAAAGACAACCAGCCGGTACCAACGTGCAAGCGTTGCCTTTTCTTGTTACGTTTAAAATTAATATGCAAGCGAGGTGGGCCTTATGAAAAATGAGACGTTCTGTTTATACATTCACTTTCTGGTGACCGCAGCCATATGTGAACTCTCCGAGATAGACAAGATCATTAGGAAACTTTCGCTGAATCAGGGCTACAACTGCTTCGTGCACATGTAGACACTATAGACAGAGGGCGGTTGGCATTTTGCTCGGTGAGAGTTCGTATCAGAATCCACAACCGCACAACGGAGTTTGTTGAAGTCACGATACAAGCGGATGAACTTGTGTTGAAGTTCGGTTACTCGCAACTTACTTCCCCCACGCTACTGAAGCGCGCTAACTGCGATCTAAAATGGGATAATTGTCAAGTGGGCGAGGGTGGGATGTTAGGTATACCAATAAGGAAAGAGAGGTATCTTCAGTGGTAGACGTCATCTGCCCTACTGATGCCAACAGGCGACAGCTGATAGGGCGTGTAGGTACTTTTGCATGATATATGGCTGGGTATCAACTGACATAATGCCATGGCGGAGAATATCGAACAACATGAATTCCCAGCTGCAGCTTTTGACTAAAAACCTGACTGCAAAGTAGGTCCTTGAGCGTAAGGAACGCGCTTCAACGCTATTGGGAAACCCCGCTCTGGACGGCTCGACTATTTTGAGACCGTTATCTTGCTGTTAAAGCTACCGCTCAAATCGTTGAGTATCACGGGTGACAAAAATCTACGCCACATGCTTTTTGAAGCCAACGTTTGGAAAACCATCAGGTGGAGAAAAGGTTGCAGTGTTTTCACGGCTGATTTTCCTTGAAAAACCCTCAGCCCGTTTCAACGAAGCTGCTTCAAAAAGGATCCACGGTTAACGGTAGGCGTTCTATCTAGGAATACTACAACGTAGACTATGGTTAGGCGGCGAATTTCAATTTCGACTGATTAAGTAAACTTTCAGACCCCACCTCAATTTTTCTCCACGTAAGAGCATTATTTTATACTTGAGAACGGGTTCAGCATTTCTGTTACCAGAAATGTAAACGACCCCAGTCAACCTAGGCTTGTAAAGCAATGGTTTTGATGATCGATCAAGTGTTCACCACAAATTTTAGTTTCCGAAAGACTGTGTTTAAGAGCACAGCTGTCAACACGTTGACATCAAGCGGACCATGTCCCCTCTTAACGGCATCATGGTTTTCGTGCGCACACCCGATTCACAATAAATTTCATCCCTTGAGAAATAAGACTTCAACACAACAATGAGGGGAAACCGGAAGTTCTGTGAAGGACCCACGTAACAGGATTGCTTTGCCCCGATGTAATTATTTTGACTATTAATGAAAATGTGGGAAGAACTGAATTTGAGTTTCGCATTCACTAGAGCTGATCAGCAATGGGGCGAAAATAAATCACGTCGCTCAACTCGAGTGCTTTTGCATTTTCATATGTGGGTTGCAAATCAAGCGTCCGAAGAAAAGGACATGTACTGTTGCTGAGCTTTCAGTAAGTGAACCTCGAGTACAACACTTTTTCAATTAGATAAAAATTGACAAGAACTATACCAGATGAAATGAGAACTATCCAAGAAGAGAATTGCAACTGCATGTTCTGTAGATCCGTAATCTAACTACAACAGACAGGCCCGTGTCCCTGATAGTCACATGATCGAGGAAGATGGCGGTGCTGGTGACACCGATTGACGTAAGCGAAAAAATGTCGTACCTATTCAACTGTCCAGTAGAGTGCGAAGTGGAGCCATGTTACTTAGAGACTTATAAGAATTATGATCTAGAATTACCAAATGTTATGTTAGTATCGTGCACATGTGAACGCCTACAAGTTTGGCTACTTGCTACGCGAAAATTGGGGATACGATATAAGACTATAACGTTAATGTTTGAAAAGCGGAATTCACACAGAACATTCGCAGCCTTATCAGTAGTGTATTACGTCTGTGCTGTATTGTGACACCAGCTGAAACTTGAGGTGGCCTGGTGTAGCACGTTCATTTGATCCAGAACATCATAGGCGACGGATTCAGCTGTGATTCAGGTGAGTCTCCTACACCAAAACCAAACTGATGTACAGATGAGCGTATAAGTCGAACGGCATTTTCTCCATAAAAGCGACAATCCTGAGATGATAACGTCTCTGGCTGAGAATACATCCTTCTTACAATAAGTATGAAACTAAACTGGTTTTCACCCAACGGAATCCCAGAAAAACGTCACATTTATGATATTCTTACTCAACTGAATGCGCTGCAGCCGCCTCTGCTCCATAAAAGCGACAATCCTGAGATGATAACGTCTCTGGCTGAGAATACATCCTTCTTACAATAAGTATGAAACTAAACTGGTTTTCACCCAACGGAATCCCAGAAAAACGTCACATTTATGATATTCTTACTCAACTGAATGCGCTGCACCAGGCCGCCTCTGATTCCAGTTGGTACGATATTCGAGATACCGCACTACATTTTTTAATGGGAACTACTCACAAGGTTGCTGGAGACTTGGACAGCCCATGACCGGTTTTGCCTTCCTGAAGCTCATCGGCTAGGCGCACCAGTCAAAACTTTCATCAACCTTATGTTCTACTTGAATGCAAACTGTACGAAATTCGACAAAGAACACTACCAAAAACGACAGATTGAGCTGTGTCTGCGTTTTGAACCAAGCTACTGTACAAATGAGTATACTCGCCGATTTTCTCGTAATATGGGTCCAACTGGGACACGTTTAACGCAGTGCGCATACCTGATGACCCCAGAGGACGAAATCAGTCGTAAGCTGTCCCTAAGCTCTCAGTAACCTCGTGGGTAGTTTGCTTCAAAAAATTAGGAAACTACCTTTCCCATTCGACCATGACAGAAACTTGAGTAACAGCAGTCTACATTGCTGGATCTGGGTCCTACCATGTAATTCCCCATCCTGGTAATTCACATTCAATATCCCGCCCAATGGTGCTGAAAAATCGCACAGCATGACCCGGATTCGACAACAGAGGATACTACCGATTAGCTAAGACAATCCACAGGTGTTGGTGGACAGCTGTGAATAAATCGCGGTGAGTAGGTGGGAACAGTCCGAAGCCGAACAATTCGACTGCAGATGAGGCCACAGAGAGTTTTTATAATGTATTGCACTGAGACGGAAACTCACAGACAGCGACCGTGGCTGCTACTCTCATTTCAAAATCCGAATCAGGTAACCACACTTAAGACTACATAATACCCGTATGTATACACAGCGTAACCGGTTCAACAAAACCGTAAGAAGCCAATAGTTGCATTTGGTCGAAAATACCAGAAAGTGCCGGCCCATTGGAAGAATGTACCCAGAAGATCAAAGCCATAAGCACAGCAGTCACGTGTGGTTAATGTACTAGAGTAATTATAGAAAAAAAACAAGACAAAGACAGAGTGCTAAAATAAGAGTATCAGGGAATGTTTGTTAGATTACAGTACAAAATAAAACTGTACATTGCATATGTGTATGCATATATACATATGATCAATCCACATTAACAGTGTGCCAGCAGTGCAAATAATCATCGCAGCAGCACTTCGCCGACGTAAAAACTGAACAACACCAAGAAAAACAGGTGAGCAAGGTATAAATCAGATGCAAGAAGAACTGTGTACAGAGTTGCAAAACCTGATGAAAGAAACAAACCACGTAGGAAACTGTGAAAGACAGTGCACTGGAAGAAACGGGAGTGTGCCGAGGCGTAAGGTTATGAAGATAGAACCAATTCACAGCTATGACACATTTGAAGACGGCATGGGTGGATATATTTCACAAATCAGTGGTCTGCACGATGTGAGAGAATCAAATGGATGCACGACCCGAGGTGATTGCAGAAACAAACCGAAGAGTAGACTGTCAGTGCTGCTGCGAAGGGGTGCAGTGAAAAGTAGTAGTACAAACATGATTTTCTGGAAATCAAATGCGTCGGCGAATGGTGTGGCCGATTCTTCGGCTGTTCACTTCTTTCATAAATTAGAAGTGAACGTATGGTTTGGCGGCATGGTTCACATTTGTCATTCAGGGAATAAGAGATCCGTGCGAGCCGGAACTGAGGCATATCGAAGTGGGCTTTGTCGGGTAAGATGGACTACGATGTAACTTTGGTAGTCGATCAAGTAGTTTCACCAAGGTGGTGAACTCCGGACGGCGACTAGGATCATGGGCCCAGCATTGCACGAGGATTTCCTGCAATATTGAATGAATGGCGTTTAGGATTTGTCAGTGGTACGAACGGCTACTTTTGCAAGGACAAATCAACAGGTTAATGAAGTCGTAAGGGTAATCACCAACACCGTAGGAGCACCAGGCGGTGAAGAAAGGTCACAACTCCTAAGATGAGGAGCATCGATCAAAGTCAGCAGTGTCTAATCTGTGATACACGCATTCCAAGGGGCCCGATTTGGCTACCTACAATGGTCACATAAAATTTTCTCTAAATTGAGATATGAATGACCTTCAGTAGTGGCAGCGTGTTTGGTTCTGGAGATACTGCCCGCTTCGTTCTGTTATCTGAAGTCTGTTACGCCGGTTCTTATTCACGGACAATAAAATACTCGCATTCCGCCATTAAATCCTATGCATCTTGTATTGACCTATCCCCAGAGAGCAGAACAATCGGTGAACCTAGATTGCCAAACAGCCCGAGGACCACTTGGTAGAGAAAAAAGAATGTGACATAACACTGGCTTGGAAAATACGAGAGTACAAAGGATGACAGAGAATGGACTTTCGTCTCATTGTTTTTGCACTTTGCGCCAACTGAGGTTGGCTAATATCTGAATACCCTTTTCATCCGCAACTAAAATGGATGGATATCCTACACCAATACTTTAGAGAAAATCTGTCTGTTTTTACGAATGACACGGTTCTTCGAAGATGGAAATGGGATAACAATATTTGAGACAAAGAAACTAAGATTTTTTTGGTAAAGAGGTCAAAATAACCTACAAGCAATTGGCATTATAGAGGCAACTCATGCCAATCGCGTTCACAATTTCAATTAGTAGTTATTTGCAAACATCTCTACTTCATGAGTTGCAGAATCGAGTAATTCACACATTATTACACTTGAGAATTCGGGATGTTGACCAAGTAATCAAATCACACGGGTACTCGCGTTCAGGCTTTTATCGAGGACTCCAATAATCCGTATGCCTATGTCCAGGTGCGCTGGCGGTATCCCAGCTCACACACGCCTATGATATATACAATTAAAAATACCGTGACACCACCACATCATCATCAGCTAGGTCGATTACTAACTGCATAAAACAGGACGGACAGGCGAAGACAACTGCTCTTGGCCCCAAACTGGACTCGTTGAAATTGATGTGTACTTCCTATATGAAGCAAGAATAGAATCACAATGGCTGGTATAATTGCCCCTTCATCTTTACTTGCTACCGGATGCTCACTTACGAGGATCCAGAAGCCACTGCAATAGGTTACGCAGAGGTCGCTGATGCTTTTACGTCACAGGGTGGTAGGATCCTTGTCTAATTGGATACCCGTGGATGGCGCATCCGTCTGGTTCTTCTGGTAGCGTCCCTGATGGAGTCTCAGAAGCAGGAAGTTGATCAAGTCATGCAACTAAGATAAGATTAACTTTAATCATTCCTCCTGGCCTTTTAGACTACAAGGTTATATTGTCTCATTATCCACTTGCCCTCAACTTTCAAATGATTTTTGCATGGCTGTCGGTCACCCGTGTATGAATTAAGGAAACCGTATTCTTGGAAGAGCATTGGAAAGTTAAATTAAAATAGAGCACGTAGCTCAAAGTAACCTTAAATCTCAAATGCCGTACCCATTCAAAATGTGCAACCTACTGGAAATCTTTCCATGAATCCGGAATTTTCAGTATATTAAGGTACTTTCCCTTTGTTTACAGGTTCACCTCATCAACTCCGGCGGACAAAACTTCAACACCAGCAGTGTCACGAAGTGTAAACAGAAACCGATGATTCGAGAAAGCGAGACTCAGATATAAGTACACATATAAACATCGAGTCAAGGATTATTAAAACTTACTTTGAAATCCTTTGGTCCAGGGATGCGCAGGTTTTGCTTAATCCCTCGCGCACACAAATAAACGATTGTTTCCGCTGGATAACCCCGAAAAGGATATTCTTTCGCAAGTAATTCATACCATACAGTGCTGCGAAGCATAGAAGATAAATGGATATTAGACATTCCAAGATGATTTTGGGAGCAATAAAACGACGCGCCCTGGTTCGAACTAAACGAGATGAACTGTTTGCGTGATTTAGCCGCACCTCCAGCTGGGGTGATATCCCAGAACTGACTGCCGTTCCAAATGAGGGATATGTAGGAGCTTAGATTTCACGGGTTTCCCTAAACCTTTAGAAGTGCAGTGGAAAATGCCGAGGACGAGAATGGTTGAAACCAATAATGCACACAGTAACCTCTCAGTTATCCGAACAGTCCTGAAAGTTGTTGCAAACTCCAAGGAAACCAAGCGGTTTGGCAAACAAAAACTGATGTTCACCTGGTAAGAAATGGGGCCACGTCCGGTTTTCGATCCGGTTCCCAAAATCTGAATACCTGATGTGTACGAGGATTACCTGGGACGAGTACCCACCAAATTCTTCGCGCATTATATTTTTTGCAGCAGAGGGAAAAATTTGCAAAAAGCAGATCGAATAAATAGAAAGCGCATAGAGCCAAACAGTTCTAGCTATTCATAAAAAACGGATGTACGAAAATGGAAACGCTGCTAGGCGATTTGGGAATTAATGTAAAAACAGTAATCGACAATCCAAGTAGAGGGTTGTGTAATGCTGTCAAAAAAGTGCAAGCTAAGTGTGGTGTTGATTAACCACTATTGCCTCAATATGTAGGGCGCGGCATACAGCAGTATCTCTTATAGTCGAGGAGATGCCTGCTGCCGATGACTGGTTACAGTGAAGAAGCTGAACGGTGTTTGTAGACTTTTAAACATAGGTTGATGTGTTGAGTAATGTAATCATGAAACTTGAAGACTATGGTATTTTAAGGCTGACTTTTGCCTTGTCTGGTCGACAGGCGTTGGGAAAATTCTGATATTAGCTAGGAGTTGGTGGCTGAGAATATATGAAAGAAAACACGAAGCTAAAGCGATGGTTTTATCTTAATTGGGAGAGGCTGGTACTCGAATGATTACATAGAAACTCGAATGCCCACTGCGGTTAGAGGTTAAGGACTATAGGAATAAGATGACAAACACATACATACCAACAGTCACAAGTTACAATATATTTTCTCGCCCCTATAACCGTGACCTTCTGTTGACGCATCCCACTGCTCGCAATGTAGTCCTGTCGGTGAAGCACTAGATCCGCAAACCGCGCATATACTCATATACAACGTGGGCGCACATGGAAAGGATCCTAACAGGGCTATTCCCGGGTGAAATCAGTCTATGGGCATCATCAGTAACGTTATCGCAACCATCTATTGAAGCAACTCGCATCGGGACCCTTTACTCTCAAAGGCAAATTATTCAAGCTCACACAACCGGCTTGGCTATTTCAAAAACAAAACAACACAAACCCAATAGATGTAGTACACTATGAATAAGGCTGCTGGAAACTACTCAACAGCTCACGAACGGCTTCCCATTATTGGGGCACATCCGATAGGCGCAATCCCCGTGTTTCTGTCAACATTATGTCTTACTTGAACCCAAAACGAAATTAAATGGTTTTATCTTAATTGGGAGAGGCTGGTACTCGAATGATTACATAGAAACTCGAATGCCCACTGCGGTTAGAGGTTAAGGACTATAGGAATAAGATGACAAACACATACATACCAACAGTCACAAGTTACAATATATTTTCTCGCCCCTATAACCGTGACCTTCTGTTGACGCATCCCACTGCTCGCAATGTAGTCCTGTCGGTGAAGCACTAGATCCGCAAACCGCGCATATACTCATATACAACGTGGGCGCACATGGAAAGGATCCTAACAGGGCTATTCCCGGGTGAAATCAGTCTATGGGCATCATCAGTAACGTTATCGCAACCATCTATTGAAGCAACTCGCATCGGGACCCTTTACTCTCAAAGGCAAATTATTCAAGCTCACACAACCGGCTTGGCTATTTCAAAAACAAAACAACACAAACCCAATAGATGTAGTACACTATGAATAAGGCTGCTGGAAACTACTCAACAGCTCACGAACGGCTTCCCATTATTGGGGCACATCCGATAGGCGCAATCCCCGTGTTTCTGTCAACATTATGTCTTACTTGAACCCAAATTGCACGAAATTAACCAAAATACACTCATTCGCAAATCGATTTGATTTTGACAAGATATTTTCTTGGAAAGCAGCATGAAACCGTCGTAAACGAGAAATTCAACTGAGTCCCAGATGAGCCTCTATTCCAAACCAAATTGGTATGCAAATGAGTGTATTTCGCTAACGAAAACCTAACTTACAGACAGCTTTCAGTGGGAGTTGGCAATGCTCAAGATCTCTGCAGTGCATCTGGGGGAAAGGGCCGCATCGCAAATTTTACCGGTAAAAATTGTCGGACAAACATCCAAAGTACTACTCTCAATTTGAGAGAAAATGCTTTAGACCAAACGTTGTGATGGGTGCTAGGAAAAAAACTTTGACAAAACTACACCAAAAATTATATATATA